CGACGGACCACCAGCGCTTGCTATCCCGCAGACCTGCGGATTGCAGATCTCAGCGAGCTTCAGATTGGGTGGTTTAGATTTTTTTGTTTCTAGGAAACCACAGGACCCCCCCCCCAATTTTGGGCCTCCCCATTTTGACATGCAACCAAGTAGGAGGCCGATCCTTTAGTTCCCTTTTTTGGCACCCCCAACAAAGCGTAGCTTCAAAAGATGACGTTCAGAGGAATTTTGGCTCTTGTATGGGAAACCAAAACCAACCCAAACCGTCAGTTGCCAGCACCCGGGTCCCAACGACTGCTTCTTGTTTGCTTCCCGTGCCAAGTTGGGATTTCGGACATGGGGAAGCTTAGAGGCAGTTGCAAGTTGGGACCCGGGCGCTGGGGGCCCGCGCACCCCCCAAGCAAACAAACCTGAAGGCGTTGGTGAGAAAAAAAGAAGAAAAAAAACGCGAGGATGCCGCGGCCCAGCTTTCGCAAACGGTGCCCCGGTCCCGTTTGGCTTCAGGGTCTACCAAGTGGGTCATATGTTTGCATTTCTTTGACAGCCTCACTCAAATCTCTCTCTCAGAAACTAGAGCCTACTCATATTTGAATTCAGCGCAAGGACATGTCATTCTCAGGCTCTCTTGCCCAGAACTCAGCGCGAATCGCGCCCGTTCCACCCATGGTTCCCCACATGGCTTTCAATGGCTTAGCCGGCTTAGCCCACAAGAAAACCTCTAGCTAGGGGTTGATTCCCCATTCTTTTCAATCATCGTTCTTTCCAAAAACCTGCCGTAAGAATGGAAATGGAAGGTACCCCTAGAAAACCTGTACAACCTGAAATGGCAACTTCTCTCAGGGCTCATTGGACATCTGCCCCCAAATTGCTACGATAAATTTGGACCAGCTGGTGCTGAGAATGAAGGTTGGACGCATGTCCCCAGGGATGCGGAACGCAAGCCACGGCAAACTGCTGCATCCGGGAGTGCCAACAAGTCCTATGCCTATATCGATATTGGCCAGGCCGCTTTTGCCATCAGATTTAGGAAGCAACAGGTACCAAGAGCCCGCGACCCGTCTGTAGCAAAACCAACAGAAAACAACAACCAACGGGTATTCAGCCTGCACTGCCCGCAACAGAACTCTTGAAGCCGGAAACACATCCACTGTCTGAGTTTTGGCATCAAAATGGTTCTAGGTTTGAAGGTCCTGGCTCTTGACTTGGTTCGTTGAGGCTCCGCAGTTGTTTCTTCAGTTTCCACTCAAACCCCAGGGACATGCCCTCCACAAAAGAAAAGAAACCCATTTGGGTATGGCTCAAAATTGAGCCACCACCAAAAAACAACGCAGGTTTTAGTCCTTGATTCCGTTTACCAGAGGGTAATCCATCATTTTGGGTACCCGTGTTTTTCATATTGTTGGACACGTAGGGGTGAATCTAAGGACATCCGACGTAACTCCCGCCCTTTGGTCAGCCTGCGGCCATGAACGCCAGGGCGGCGATCACGGACCTCGTCGAATCCGACTTCGAATGTTCGAACGCGCATTTGTTGGAGGTACCTGGAGTCTCCATGACCCTTTAAAAAGGGGGTCATTACCCAAAATTCAGGGGTCATGAGCCCCTTTTTCTATGGAGCCTCTTCCCCACACAACGGACCTTCATGGGGTGAGCTGGTTTCGCGAAGTGAGCGCGTGTTGTATGAGATGCTCATGCCTTCTGCACCCAATACCCACCCTTTTTGTTAGGGTATCATGTCAACCCCTGTAGAAAAAAAAGTATTTACCATATGGAAAACCGGGCTTTTCAACAAAAACGACTGAAAACAGAGGGTATTGGAGTAGGGGGGATAATTTGATGGCATCCCTAAGCCAAGTCCTGTTGGCAAAGGTCCTGAAAACCACATCCAGAATGACGAATCGGATCGAACACTGATGTTGTGTAGAGCGTCCTGGCATTGAATTCCCTTTTGTTTTTGGGTCTGCCTCAAATTGGCAAAAATGAGTAGTTTCATGCTGGTTTCCCCAACAAGGGTATCTTGAAGAGCACACACACAGTGTGTTCATCTGCGGCTTCTTTTTTTTAAATCTTGGTCTCCTGTTGGCTGCCTGAAAGCGAAGATCAGCCTCACCTGGGTTCGTTGATCCCGTTCAAGTCATTTTGTTTCGTAAAAACACCTAAACTCAGAAAATCTAGACAAGTCCAACGGGGGGTAAGTTTGGTCCCGAAAGAAAATTACCTTTATTTTGGTCCTCTACATGAAATTCCATGGGTCACACTCTCCCAATTCCCCGGGGAATGGCTTAGGTAATTACTTTGTCACACAGGTCGTATACTTGTAGATTCCTCTTGTCCTTAAGTTCGCGGACAAGATTGCTTGCTTCGCCTTGGAGCGCGCTCAGAAGCAAAGGTATTCATATTGAAATGGGTGTGCCTTTTTTGAGGGCAGCCCCCAACATAGTGGCCTTCCTGTTGGCTTTCCTTGAAAACCCAGTACCCTTGAAAAAGGCACAGCGGAGTAGAAAGGCGCGGGTGCAACCATGGAGAAGCACAACATGGGCTTTGGTTCCCCTTCAGTTCACCTACCCCCCCCCCCCTTAAAGGGTACCCAACCAGTTCATGGTTGTGGGAAATTACCTTGTGATGCAAAGTGGGTTCAAAGGGATGCCCTCAGTGTCAGAAAGCACGGGAAGAAACCGGCTGGAATTTCTGCGTCGTGGAGCTCGCTGGTTTTGGTGGGCATTAGGCTACCCGCCTGTAGAATCTTCTTGTGATTGGTTTACATAGTTGGCTTCCGAAGTTCCCGTTTCCATGATCTGGTGTTTGTCCGAGACGAAAAGTCTATTTGATTCTACCCCCCCCCCACCCCACCCCCCCTTACCGCCACACACCCTACCCATAAAATCCTCAAGTGGTCATGAATGAAAAACAGGGAACCCGGTTGGTGTTGGACCTAAATGCCTTGAAGGGAAGCGTGTCCTAACTTTTAACTTTCTATCTCTCTATCCCTCATTTCCCAACCTCTACCTCTATTATCTGGTCCAGATTCCTAGAGGTAAGAAGAGGTTGAATAAGGAAATGAGATAGAGATGGAAGATAAACAAGTTCTCAGGGTTTTCTGGACGGACGAAAGGACAGGAGTAAACACCCACCACTGACTTCGTTCCTTCCCTCTCACATCGTTCACACTAGCATGGAACCCAGACAACACCCATTTGCGGACACTCCTCTTGGGAGCCCCCGAACAAGCCTTCCATGTGAATTCGCAGGGGAAGTACTGCCCCACAAAAACTGAAACTGCCACTTTGGAAGCTCCCAAGGGAAATGGAGCTGGGCATGTTCTGATCCCCAAAAGTTTGCACCTCGTGGGTTAAATACGGAAACCCAACCACGAAAGACAAAAAGGCAAAAAAAAACGGAAAACACAAATCAAAGGCTAAACACTTAAAAAGTCACAACCCCACAAATTGAAATGCCACCAAAACACACCAAGCAAAAAAACCAAAAAAGGGCCAAGGGACCCGATGCTCCGGGGTGTTCCCGGATGGGGACTGAACGACTCCCTTCCCAGGCCACGGCTCTCTGACACTCTGCCTGTGGCCCGCACATCTGCTTCCGGGCATGGAAGGTCAGCATCAAGACCACGGACTCGGAACACGGGCCGACGAATCTGTGCCCGTGAAAAGGCTTGGTGTGCTGGGGGCATTCCACCCAAAAAGACGTACCTTGAAACGAAGGAAGCCCAAAAGGTACCCTAAAGTGAAGGGGGTTTCCCATGTCCAGGTAGGGAGGCTGTATACCCCTGGTATACGGAGGGTATATACTGTCTTGGGAGCTGAAATTGGTGGTGTATTCGCATCCATACCTCGAAAACCCAGACCTGGACATGACCTTGATGAACAGCTGGGCTTCTTGTTGGTTTGCCTTTGAATCACAACCAACAGGCGGTTCGGGTGTGTCTCTCTGTTTACGGTGATTCCATTTAGCCGTACACAAGTTGCACGCCATATCGATGTACGGAGAAAGTCCAAGAGTCTCTGCAATCATTTTCCACTGGGAGTAGTCATTTGAGGGAGCAATTCTGTCACCTGTCCCGGAGCCTGAAGGAAGCCGTTCATCAATACTCTACTCTTGTATTCTTAGTCATTTTATTTTCAGGTGATCCTAGAAATGCTAAATAGTTGTCCTTCGGAATCTCTTCAATGCCCAAGGAGCGCCCCTTAAACCTTTCAGTGATATGGTTATCTTGAAGGCGAAGCCCCCTAAGGGTGGGTTTCTTTTTAGTGCCCTTCAAAAATACCTTCAAAGGGTTGCCCTCAACAAGAACACATTCCTTGCGATGGAATGTGCTTGGCCCGATTGGAGTTGGACTTGGACCTCTGGTTCTTGTAGAGGGTCAATGAGAAACCGCCCTTAACCTCCAAACCACCAATCCAAATCACCAATGAGGGGATGTACATATATATATATATATATATGTTCCAGGCCGTGGACCCCCCCGCCCCCCCTCAAAAATAGGGTCCATATATATATATATATATATATGTTCTGCCGGAATGGAAGTGGGCCTTAGGTGCCTTAGGGACCTCGACAGTGGCAGTCCGAAACACAGCATGGCACAGGTCCTTCCGATTCTTTAAGCGAGAAATCCTTTCGAAGGAAATCCTTTCGACAACTCACTTCCTGAGTGGACTGGCCTTGAGCACTAGTCAGCTTGAACACTTTCCTTTGAATCGCTGGAGTACTTGGCTAGGTTGCAATGCGTGGGTGCCTAAAACTCACTTGCTGAGTGGATTGGTCAGTCAAAGTCCAAACATTTTGTTTACCACTTAAATGGTCTACCCAAACATGTTATAGTCCAGGAACGCAGGAAGTGAGATTTACAACAGGGAAGCATCTTTTTGGATGCTGTTCAAAAAAATAACAACGAGGACAACCACCCGATTTCGGCCTAGGGCTTCCCCAGGACCCGCGCTAGGCCGCCCATTTTCCGCGCATCTTCCGCGCGTTTTCCGGTTGCGTCAGCCGGGCTTCTGCAAGATCCAGGCAGGCTCTGTCGGGTCGTCGGTGACGAAGACTTCCAGGCCCATACCTGATGCCGCCTTCAAAGGGGGGTTGGCCATCTTGGGAACCTTTCTAGGTCCTCCAGATTTGAGAGGTTAGAATAAGTTGGTACCCTTTTTTCTCAGTTTAGTCTATTTTACTAGGGGAACCCTCCCCCAAAAAAGGGCAAAAGGGCACTACTGGGCGACCTAGCTTTCCTTTCCTTTGCGAACTCCGAGTCTGGCTTCGACGCGGCTAATGCTTGAATTAGGCTTGGTGGGGAATATTCCGTGAAATCGTCCTGCTCACTGAAAATCACATAAACGTGCTCCAGTGAGGTCTGTTAAAATCACACTGGCATCGAAGATACCTTCAAAGCAGTGTAAATGGTATGGGTACCATCCCCCATAATGCACTTGGGGGCGGTCTAGCAGAGCTCAGGTGATTTGGAGAACTCTTTTTCTGGCCTCACAGAACGGGAGCTGTCCTTCTTTGCGGCCCTTGTGGGGGGGGAGAGCACCATATCTCCTCTCCTCAGCTGTCCTCAACATTCATTTCGACTTCTGTGGAAGGCCCATTGATGCTTCGGGTAGCTTTCTTTTTTTCTTTCTCTTGCATGTCCCAAGGTCCCATGCCCAAAACAGATCCTTTCGCCTGTGCCAACATCGGTGGTATGGCAGGGGGGTTGGGGGTGGTCTTGGGGTCATTCCTCATTCCTGACTGAGCACCAAGCTTGGCGGCCTTGACAATTGACCAGGCTGATCCGACCACCTACAGCAAGTGAACACATTTGTTGCTAGTCGGAAAAAATAATTAGCTTCCCGCTGATTGGGTTTGTGGTTAAGGCCGGTTTCCCATTACCCTCAAAACCGGTTCAAATCCGACCAATCCAAACCACCAACTAAGGGTTGCCCAAAATTGATGGACAACCAAACACGGCAAAAGCTAGGTCAAGCTAAGTCTGGCAAGACACTTTCCGCGAACTCGTCCACGGCTCGCTTCACCCCCACCACCGATCCGTCGCCTACGGGAGCAGCGAAGCCAAGGGTTGTCTTTTGTTTTGGCTTTCCTTCTGGTTTCCTTTGACCAACCACGAAAAGGAGTACCACCACAAAAAAGGACAGACTACAGAAAACATGCTTTGAGCGCCACTGACCAAGGGGTAGTCAAAAAAATAGAACTGTCATGTCCCAACATATCTAAAATGTGTTCCAGGCACACAAAAGGCCTCCGGTGCGAACAAGGCACAAGGGCTTTCAGTCGCACCAAAGCGACTGAAGTGTCCTCTAGGGTGCGCGGATAAATCCGGAGTCAAGAGGGCCCTCAGTCCATTTTGTTCCTACTGCAAGGTGGCATAAACCTAGTGGTTGATTTCCCCAAAGGAACCCAAGCGAGTAAGTCTACTTTGCGGTAGCGACTGAAGTTTAAGACTACTTGGGGTAGTCAAACAAACGGTAGGCGCCCTTTTGGTTTCCCGTTAACAGTCAGCAAAAGGGGTTCCAGGACCCCAAAAGAAGTCACAACCTTAATGGGCATGAATCTTAATTAGGCGCGCTGACATCATTTGTGGAATCATGTCACCAACCACGGTTGAGGTTCTAACTCTCAAAATTCATAGCCGGATCTCTTTGGCTTCCCCCAAACCATCCCAAAAGGGTACCCACTCCCAAAAAAATGACACACCCGAGTAATGCGAACCCCGGATCGGCCCCGGGTTGATGTTGATCGCGGGGTGTCCTCTTTTAGTCTCACTTCCTGAATGGATTGGCCAAAAACAGTCCAAACTCTGCATTTACCACCAAAATGGTCCAGACCCAAAACAGTGACTCAAGTCCATAAACCATAGGAAGTGGGGATTCAGACCGCTCTCGTCTCAGACCCCTCGTCAACAGATCCCACCGGTCCCTCCGCGGTGTAGTTGGCGCCGCAGAAAGCGCCGCCCTCCGCCAGTAGCGGCCACCAGGACGCCAAGTCCGTGCGCACCTCGAGATCGCTGGACCGACACGCGGTGCACCAAATCGGAGAACACGGAACTTGCCGGTCATGTGGACCCCACACCTGGACCTTCCGGGGGTCAGAAAAATTGTAGGCGTTGGCCGAAAAAGCGCGTGCTTGTTTGGTCGTTGGCGTGATAAGGCGGAAGTTATGAGCATGCAGGAAGGTCCAGGTATGAATTTCAAACGCCAGTTTATGAAAACATGGGGCGGGCGCCTCCACAAAAGTGGTCTGATTCCCCACTAAACCCAGGGAGACCCCCATATTAATAGACTGGGGTTGAACTTAAGTTTGCTATCTTGCGAGGGTGTGGCTCAAACTTTCAGAGCGCCGGGGACCGCAGGTTTCAGTCTACTTTTGCATTTAAATATGTGCTTCCTGCGTAAAGGAGCTACATCAGGTTCGCTTGATTATCCCCCCACGAATCGGTGAGCTCGACACCAACATGGGTTTAAAAATAAACGGGGTGACCCTCAGATTGGGTGGTGTCCCTTTTATCTCCCGTTGAGCCAACCCCAAGCGCACCGAGCCTCAAAAAACACGAGCCACTCACATAGGCCATGGTTGCAACCCAGCCGCTGCACCGTAGGAGGGGTTGGCGTCATGGAAGACCATCATGGGGCTGGGACCTGTGACTCGGCGGATTTCAAAGTGACCCAGTACTGCAGGTACTCAGCCCCTCCCTCTCTAGCCCACAACCCCTTGTTGTGTAGGTTTCCAAACAAAACCCAGTCTTTTCAGTGCGGCGTCCAACACATCCGTGTACATATTTAGTAAGAGTCGCCTGATATCAACCTGCGCGCAAGCAACAACTCCACGCGCGTAAGGCGGCGTAAGCAACAGGATACGACATAGCAAACCATGACGCGTCCAGGTGGAACACATGACATATGTCCAAGAGGAGGCTTTACGTAGAACCTCCAAAAAGCGGGGGTTTGGGGTTTTCATGGATTTGACTTCAGCAAGTTGACATAGCATTTGTAGGAATGTACCTGAAAGATAAATGTCCTCTTCAAGGGACCCCCTGTAAGGTGCCATGTTAGTGGGAGAAACCGTAATATATATATATATATATTATGGTGATTGTTCAGCCGCTTACACTGGGGGGGGGGCTCTTAGCACAGATATTGAAGTGAGAAGCAAAGCCCTCATGGATCTGGGTTCAGGGGCCAGTGTACTTTAGCAGACAACAGATTGAATAGATTGGAAAAGTTCAAGTGAGATCAAGAAATGGGAGCAACGCTTCTGTAATTGTATCGCCTAGAAAAAATGAACCTTGTGCCAAACAGGGGATCTGGCCTAGAAAAAAGCCTTTCGCAGTGTTAGGGTCGTTTAAGAGAAAGGGCCTCAATTTTGGACCTTGGTACCCCATAGTTCGCCACTCATCCTGGATTGGTCTTTGACCCTCAACAAAAGACATACTGTGCGGCGCTATTCTGGCGATCCGGGCCGCGCTATTCTGGCGATCCGGGACCGCCGTTTTCGCAGGGTGTAAGTACATGGCACGATTCCCAGAGCACTGCTAGAAGCTTAACTTTTAGTGGGTTAGATGGAAACCCCCACTAACCTAAAAACCTACAAACCGGACGGCTGGGTGGAACCTGCCATTGGGAGCCATCTCATCTTGTGTACATATGCTCAAAACAAACACTTGTTTCCTTGGCCGAATTCCGGCAACACGAGCCATATCCTCCGGTGCTGGTTCATATTCTACCCTGGGTCGTCTCCAGTTTTGGGAGACCCCAGTTCAGCTGTCCGTCGAAGCTGAACACCCGTAACGGGAGCCGTGGAAAGGTGATGGCATGCCCGAGAATCGTACAGTAGCGGGGACAGTTGCGGAGTCCAGAGCGTGCACAGCGCAAGCGGTGCAGCGCTCCGTCCATGGTCGATCCTACACTAGGCCAGCGGCTTGGCGAGGTCTGATGCCTTGCGCAAACCGCGGCCACCTGAAAAAACGCCAAGCAGGCTAGATGCCTGCTGGCGCCTGTCTACTGAGAGACGAAGTATGATGCCGTCAGTGCGGCATGTGATGCGCTGAGCGGATCTATCAAGCCCGGCCACAATGAAACAGTCCAAACCGAAAAGGCGGCACACGAACCGCAAACACGAGCGAACAACCCCAACCAAAAAAGCCAGGGTGGGCCGGGTATAGAAGGATCCAAGTGGTTGCAATCGCTGGGCCCCTGAATTGGCTCGGCCCGGAAAAGCGAAGGAAGCAATTTGCGCTAACAAAATCGTGAGTTCGATCAAGCTGATCGGCTCAAAAGTGCACGAATTATCATCCCACTTGTCGATCTGATGGATCAACTGCTGTGCGAAACCACGTGAGCAGTCTCTACCATCCAGTGCAACCGCATCGCTCCAGCTGAAAGGTAGCTGGTCACCAAGACTATCGTGACCAATGACAGCAGCCCAGTCTATCTGGGGGGATGTGGTGGCCTGCTCCGGTTGCTCTTCAGCATGAAGTGAAGTCGCGGCAACAGCAAGATAAAAGGACTGCAAGGTTTGCAATGCAAAAAGCCATTCGTTGTACCATTGAGTTTGCCGATGCAATATTTGCTCAAGAGGAGAATCCCGACTCTCGTTGAGAGTGTATGCAATACGGTCTGCAACATCATTCCAAACGCAAATCCATTCCTCAAAGCTGTCCTCGCATAAGGTGAGGTTGAGGTGGGAGGGAATCCAGCTCAAAGACAGCTGGTGAGGTTCAATTTGCAAGAATAAGTCTGCAAGCGTCTCAAGGAGATCCAGGTTATCCGGCATGCCACGGAGGCAATTGCGATCGCCCTGCTGCAACGCCAATGCTGCACAAACTGTGTTGCGTGAGTCGCACCAGACCTGGGTTTTGCACTGATAGAAAACAGTCCAGCGAACGGCTGCGATGATTGCCTGTAGTTCCGCACGATTGCTTGTCTGCGTCAGACCGCTCAAGTGTCCACCTGCAACAATCTCGGAATTGCTGGCATTGACAACTGACCAAGCAGCCAAGGGCATGGTGCCTCCAGCGTGTCTGGTACAGCTGCCGTCCGTAAAAAGGTGTTGAATGCCAACTGTGGGGGCCGTAAGAAAGTCAATGGGTGTTGACACATCAAGTACCGCTTGTTTGTAGGTGAGGAAAAAGGGTGATCGTGGTACAAGAAGGTGCTGTAGAAAACTCTGAGGTTTTGTCTGAATCCATTGTGCAATCTCAGGTTTGTCCAATCTGTACTCTGCAAATTTCGGGCACTCAAGCCAATGAAGCTGCTTATCAGGAACCCCGCAAATGTCGCAAAGAGGGGCCCTGGTCAGGTCGAACTTGGATTGTTGCCTACGAAGGATCCTTCTCTGAGGCTGCTGATCTGAGCCTGTTGGAGAGGTGTGAGTTGCTCGTCCCGAACCAGAGTAAGGCGTCTGTCTATGCCCTGTAGGTCTCGCAGAGCAGCACGATGTTGGACTTGAGAGGCCACATGTTGCGTCCACGCGTCAGTCAGTAGAGCATCTAGTGCAGATGTATCCAGTGTAAAGAGATCATGTGCAATGTTGTCATGATCCACAAACAGCGGCGGCACGGTGATGACCCACCCAATAGATGCAAAAAGCTGCCGGAGCTTGGTGAAGGGACCAGCCAGGTGAGCCTGGGGCTCTCCACATTGGATCGCGTTCCATTGCTCCAGCAGGACAGGGGATTTTCTCCCAATGCGTCTAAAGTCGGAGACCGTCCTTTGCGATTGGTAGAAACCAGGATCTGCAGTTGGATGCTTGCTGAGTGAAAGCCTGATAATGGGGCTGGCCCCGCCATGCGCAACCCCAGGGCTCGGACTGCCGAAGTTCTGAGCTTCTTAATGTGGACGTCCGAGATGGGGCAGCTGCTGGCTCCATGCAAGATGCTCGGCCAGAATACCAGGTGCAGCATATCCAGCTTGCGTGCATAGGGGGCTTTCGATCGGCGAAGCCTGAGCCATTTGGCGTCCTGCTGTTGGCCACGCTGCGCAAACAGGCGGTTGCGGCGTTGCTTGGTAAAGGACATTGTACCTCCGAGTTCCCGTGCATCCTGTACCATGGAGAAGCCGAGTGGCGAGATTCTGTCTCGTATCTGCTTTGTGGTGCCCCACGTGTACGTCTTAGAGGCGTCCAAATCCATCCCCCACAGGGAAAAGAACGCCTGCAGTGAAAAATATGCTGATGCAACTGCATGGGCCTGCGCAGAGGTCAAAATGATATTGTCAACAAAGCTAAGGGTGCGTGCCGAAGGGCAGAATCGCGACTGATAACAATGAAGACTCCAACTAAGCATAGCCATCGCAGCGACGCTCAATGGGCAACCTTCCGGAAAGCCAACATCCGATCGAAAGGGTGGTCCCAGCTTGTTGTGTACCCGGAAGCGTCTTCTGAAACCTGTCAGAAAAAGTTCCCAAGGCCTGGTGAGATGCCCTGGTATACCAAGGTGGCTTGCAAGTAGAAAAAGAGGAGCTCTGCGAATATGATTACAAGCGCGAACCACATCTGTAGAAAGTCCGCACAATTCTGTATCATTTTGAAGAGCAAGCTCGATGCTGCCTTGCAGTGTCATCCAAACCTGTGATGTTTCGCGACCCGGGATAAATCCAAACGCGTCCTCGTGGATGAGGCTTTGCAGCTGCTTGAGGATCTGTCGCGAACGAATCGACGCCCAGCATCTGTAAACTGCTGAAAGTAAAACAATCGGGTGGAACTGATTGGCTGAGCAAGCGTCATCCTGCTTGGCAATAGCAATCACGATGGCTTCAAGCCATTGCTGCGGCCATGGGGTGTTGTCTTGCTCAATGGAGTTGAGGAGGCTAAGCAATGCTGATACCTGCGAAGAGCTCATATGTGACAGGTCGCTGTGGTGAAAGCCATCAACACCTCGGGCTGCTCTGGCTTTGAACCGTTTGAGAGCCCGACGCCATTGTCCTTCAGTGATAGGTGGGAATTGAAATTGGGAAGCTGGCATAAAAGCCCGCACAAAATTGCTAATACGCTCCAAATCGGAGTCTGATGGGAGAGTAGCTGCTGTCCATCGGCCTTGCCAATATTGTCCAAGCTGGTTGAGCACCTCGCCTGGCGTTGAGAAATGAGTGCGCTGTGTAACACACGACCCAGCTGGCGGCTGAATGTCCGGGGCAATTCTGATGATATCTCCCTGAATTGCATGAACGTGCAGCGGCTGGTCATCAAGGGTCCAGGAGCTCCTAGCTGTAGCCCTCGCTTCGGAGTCAAGGTGGACCTGACCGCTGTCCGGATCTGCGGCAAGGATTGTGAAGTTTGTTTCCGTCCAAAGGGCATCAATCTGGTCACGTTGGGGAGAGCGAAGGTCAAGAAAAAGAGCCGCATTGCTGTGCTCTCTTTTGGCAGTGATCTGCTCTAGGCGACGTTGAAAGTGCCATTGCTCAAACTCCCTGAATTTCTGTTCGAAGGCTGCATAGATCCACTCAGCCTGCCAAGCGGATGGGGGTGGAACCGGCAAGGCCCCAATGTCGTCCACCATGTGATTGTCCCACCAACTCGGAAAAGGCTGATTAAATCCAGAGGACCTGCGAATCGAAGCCCAAAGTTCGGCACGGTATTGCTGGGCATCAATCGTGGTTTTGGCAGCGCGGGCCGCATGCATGTATGACTGTAGTCTCCGTAG